CATAGCAAGGAGGAAGAACAGGAGACAGCTTGGGGGAGGCAGACGAGAAGACCAGTCTACCAATGGACCAAGAAACTGGCTCAGTGGATTGGAAGGACTTCTTCCTTCTGTCCCATAGTAGTCCATATACTTGCACGCTGGACTCCTGGAAGTAACGTTTAAAGGCCAGACTTTTCTTTGTTCAATTCTACAAGCAGAAGGAAACAAGCACAGGGAGAAATTTGCTGGACTGTATTTGCAAGGACATACTTTTCACCAAAAAGCATCTTTCTAATGTTGCTGTGCCCTGGGCCATTTGTCCTTTGGTTTCTGCAAGTTTTCCCCCTCTTATAGTGGACTTCTCCGGGTGCTTGACTAGTGAAGTAACTGCACTGTCTGAGCCAGGATCTGCCAAAGAAGAAGACGGTGGAATAAAAGCAAGCATAGATAAAACTACCTTTTTGCCTTCTCCCCACTGAAGACGATGCATGGCGATGATTTTATTAAATAATAAGGAGCCTGAGGCTTCTGCAAAACTTTGCGTGTCGAATACCGCAGGTGAAATATTTCCCTTTCTAGGAACGTGGAGAATTTCTCTAAGTGGAGATTTATTTATTTATTTATTTTGCCACTCCATGTTTCCTTGATCGTGGAGAATTTTGGGGAGCAAATTCATCTCTGTTTTGGAGATTTTATTCCCCATATTTTAGGCTGAAGTGGGACTACAGAGGGATTGCATGTGTATATCTACTTGAAGGATAGTGTATTTGATAGAGACCCATCCTTTTTGCTCCTTCCACCTAAGCTTTGCTTTTGGCATGATGCACACACAGTTCTTTCTGTGAGAGAAATGGCAAAGGGAAGCACTGTTCAGCCTGTCCCCCCAAAGTCATCATCACCCTTCGCAAGGTTCCATGTTTAATAGCTGAAGAACAATCCAATCTTCTTCCTGAGCCACAGAGACACGAATCATCTGTTTCAAGAGGAGAGTCACCAGATGTAGGTGTTAAAGTGGATTCTTTTCTGCATGCAAAACAATATCGTAGACTCAACTGTGTCAAGACCTTCAAATGATGTCAACTTGCAGGAGGTGTGTGTGTGTGTGTGAGAGAGAGAAAGTTAGTGTTAGTTTTCAGATGCAAATGATGACAGACCCTGAGCGGTGGGGTTTTTTTTTGTGGGTTGGGAATGACATCATATCCTACCTGCTCCCAGATTATAAAGTGATGGATGCCCAGCTGAGACAACTTGCAAGAAAAGTGGATGGCATTTCGGAGAAAGCTTCAGCCAGGGACCAAGTCTTCCTGTATCCGTGGAAACAAAGTGATTGGGTATCCGCGCGTCAGCCTAGACTGTAGGACCAGCTGAAGGACTTCCAGAACAACCTGAGTAAGGAGGGGAGATAATCCATGGCATGCCCTGAAATTTGAGCAGGTAAGGACAGCGTGGTGGATTGTCTCTTAACAACCTGTGTACGTACATTTTCAATTTTCTTAGCATGCTTTTTGTGTTTGTGTGAGTTGTATTTTTGAGAAAGGGTGCCTCTGGGATTTAATCCTGTGTGTAAAATGAGCTTTGAATCTGATTGTAGCAATAGTGAAAAGGAATGAACGAACGAACGAACAAATTAAAAATCTGGCTCGGCAAAGCCTGAATACCGTACAACTCTAGGAAAAACTCTGACCTCAAAGTAGTAATTACATGCACAAAATCAAATTCACATTCTGTATTAAAAGAAATTGTGTATCAAAAAGGAAGCTTGAAAATAAACAGAATTTCCTTACTGAGAGAAAGAAAGAGAGGTTGTTTTAAAAGTCCATTTGCAGTAAAATAGTTGCAGTTTTGAGGACAGAAAAAATGATGTGTTTTTATTCTTTCTCCATGTTTGCTTCCTTAGGCAGTCCAAGTCCCTGCTGTGGTCAAAGCTTGGAAATGTTACTTATTGGACTACAATTCCTAGAATCCCCAATGTTATCTGGCTGGGAATTTTGGAAGTTGTAGGCTAAAAAAAACACCCTTATTTTTCCAGGCTCTGCCTATCATAAAAGTTCAGGCTGTATTATCAGGATTAATGCTTATCAATGCGAAGACGTGTTGAAGCGCCGACATGTTCATTTTTACTTAGGTGAAAGGTCTACTGATTTTGCTTAAAGTATGTACGGGGCAGTAGCTTTACAGTGTGATCTGAAACATATCTGTTCAGAACCACGGAGGTTAGATTCAAACTAAAGACAACTAGCAGCTTATTTCCTGGGGAGGGGGTGCTAACCCCAAACTGGGTGAGGTGCAGTGTTTTATGTACAACTAGAACAGATCTGGGTTTTTTTTTTTTACAGTGGCAAGATGATTCTGATCACATGTTATTCGCTTTCAGCACATTTTGCAATCAGGAAAAAACCCACAGAAAGGCTTCAGCGTTTAAATCCCAAACCCATGCCAGTTTAACTGTAGGAAATCAAAGGGCTACACAATCTCATCTCCTGGGACCCCTCCTCTCAAAAGATGTGGAAGTCTGCAAATGGATTAGAGATTCTGTGCATCTCAAAACTTGACAAAGCATGTACTCATTGGGTGAGTGCAACTAAGCAGGGTGGAGGTTCAATCAGGCCCTCTTTGGACACTGTGATGTTTTGCATTTTTCAGAATCCACTTTTCATGGCCGAAAGGGCATATTTCCTGAATCAGGGAAATATGGCCTGTGAGCCAGATTTGGTCTGTGGTTTTGCAGTGGTCCTGTCAAGCACTTCACCGGTGAAGAAGACACTGGGAAAGCGTCTATTTAAACTCAGAGCTCAACCAGATGGGCATTTGTCTCACTGTTTGGTCCAGTGCAGGGACAATGGGTTCATTCTTTTTTTCAGTGACCAGATGTTGTAACAACTAGAGTGCACCAAACCACCCCCAAAACACCCCTACCCACACCTTTCTGAGCCTTGTCGAGTAACAACTAGAGTGCACCAAACCACCCCCAGAACACCCCTACCCACACCTTTCTGAGCTTTATTGAGTAGTTTATCTCAATGGGCACTTTTTGTCTCAATAATTCACTCAGAAACACTGGTCATAAGAAAGAACAAAAAGGTTTCATTTTACTCACAGTTCTTCTTATATAAAAACAAACATATTATGCAGAATAATATTAACTACTTACATCACTGAGCTTAACTAGTTAACTGGCTTCATGCTGACTAACTGATAGAATACATCACCCTAATTGTCTTCAGACAGAAAAGTCCCCACCCACCCAAAGCCTCTTAAAGGCATCATATGAAGGTTGCAGTATATCCAACAGAAACTTTTGTGGACAATTTGCAGCCTCTCAGGTGAAAAGGAGGGAGCTCCCTCAAAGCTTAGTCCTGCTCCTCTTCACAGCTCCACAGTTTTGAGCCATTACATGTCGATCATATCATACCATGGAAGATAGTGGCTTTGATTCCATGGGGGTGGTGCATCCGCTCTGGCTTTGAGTCCAAACTTGAAAGGAGCTCTCCAGTGAGCTGGGCCTATTTGAGGGATAGGGTCAGTGCGCCGGACAGCACTTGTGAAGTTCAGACTAAAATCTGGAGCCAATCTATTGCCTCTGTCAAATCAAAGAAGGAGCATTCCCTGTGGAGTGTTCATTTCCCACTAAATTCTGCTTTTCAGAAGAGCAACGTGGATCTAAAAATGTTTTGGATCAACAGCAAAGAGGTGGAAAGGGAGAAAGGAGCATCTTTTAATGCATTTTTTAAAGAAATACATAAACGAAATGCTTCATGGGCTATCCACTGTGCTATATTGCTGGTTCACTGTAGATTTTATAATTATAGAAATTACAAACCATTTACAAAATTTACATATGGATGCCTTGGCCTCCTAGAGACTAATTTTCTTCCTGCGCACACAGCTGGCTGCATTCAGATGAATCAATGTTAGCAAAAGCCACTGGGTATTTTCCATCTCTCTGTGTGATCCAGCTATTTATGAACCACTGAGCGCTTCTTTTACAATACCCTTTCCCTGTTCACAGATGCATCAGACTATATCTCCCATTATCCCCTGACTGGTGCTGATAGGGCATGTAGTTCGACACCTATGGAGGGCGTCAGGTTGGGGAAAGCTGCGCCAATGGGGAAGCCGATACTACTCATGAAAGAAACCACCTTCTTCAGTGCTGGAATTAAATACAGAAATTCTCAGAAGACGTAGTAACAAAGGCATTATGATCCAGAAGAACCACAGAAGACAAAGAAAAAGAGAGAGAGAAAGAGAGAGAGAGAGAGAGAGAGAGAGAGAGAGAGAGAGAAACAGGGCTGAGGGGGAACCTTTTAATCCCTAACAGGAGAAAGACACATTTTTTGTATATTTATTTTTCATGGCCATCTTTGGTTAAGAATTCCCATTGTTCCTGATCAAGACCGTCACCAAAACACATAAAGAAGCAGAAACTGAACATTAATGTTGGCCATATGAACTCTGCAGTGCAGTGTGACACATATTCTGATTTTGGATGTTGTTTTTGTTCTTCTTTGCCCATCAACTGATGGCGACCCCTTGAATGAGGCATCTCCAAAAACCCCTGCCCTCAACTGCTCTCCTCAGCTCCTGCAAACTGTGGGAGTCTGTGGCTTCCTTTAGAGAGCGAATCCATCTCCTTTCTGGCCTTCCTCTCTTCCTGCTGCCTCCCCCCCTCACCCAGCATGATGGTCTTTTCCTGAGACTCCTGCCTTTTCATGATCTCCCCAACGTTTCAACACCTTGGACCCCCGAGAGAGTTCAGGCGTGGCTTGATCTAGGACGCACTTGATCGCATCCAGCCTGAACTATCTCTGGAGGCAAAACGCTCTCTGATTTCAGAGATCAGCCTATTAAATGAAGGATCAGAGGGCTGTGAAAGAAATTCCATATGCAATCTTCGAAGGGAGATCGATTTTCTTTTCCCTTCTGCAAAAAGTAGCCATAGAGCCCTTTAAACAAACAAGCAAGCAAGCAAAGCAAAGATAGCTCCTTTGGTTGCTTTTCCAGGTGGGACAACGGACAGCATGGAAAGGAACCGCGTGGTTCAGAGTGAAATGATGGCCAACAGGACCAGAAGGTGGACAGGCGGGAGCCCCATCAACCGCACCTTCCTCCCTTACTACCAGCACACGCCAGCCGTTGCTGCGGTCTTCATCACCGCCTACCTGGTGGTCTTCCTCTCGTGCCTGGCTGGAAACGCCTTGGTCTGCCTGGTGGTGGTGAAGAACCCACGCATGCGGACGGTGACCAACCTCTTCATCCTCAACCTGGCCATCAGTGACCTGTTGGTGGGCATCTTCTGTGTTCCCACCACGCTGATGGACAACCTGATTACAGGTAAGAGCCTTTCTGTGGGAGAAAAGGGACGGGGTGGAGGGGACATCCAGATCTCCAGGTGGATGTTGTCAATGCAAAGGTGGCCTTTCCATGTTGTGCTGATGTGCCCTCAAGCCACCTCTGACTTATGGTGACCCTATAAACGAGGGGCCTCCAAAGGGTCCTGTCCTCAAAAGCCCTACCCCACTCTTGTAAACTGAAAGCCGTGGCTTCTTTATGGAGTCAGTCCATCTTACATGGGGGTCTTCTCTTTTCCTGCTGCCTTCAACCTTTCCCAGCATCAATGTCTGCGTAATTATTGACCTAGTCTCCTCTTTTCCTGCTGCTTTCAACCTTTCCCACCATCACTGTCTGCGTAATTATTGACCTGTGGCCACCCTAGGGAGTCTCAGCATCGTGGACACCCATTTTTTTCAGCACCTGGTTTGCTCTTTCACGTACTAGAACAGTCTGGCAGTTCTACTCAATTGAAACAGCAAATGGATCCGGAGCGCTCTGGAGGCCTCCTTCCAAGAATTCCTGCTGCTTTCAACCTTTCCCACCATCACTGTCTGCGTAATTATTGACCTGTGGCCACCCTAGGGAGTCTCAGCATCGTGGACACCCATTTTTTTCAGCACCTGGTTTGCTCTTTCACGTACTAGAACAGTCTGGCAGTTCTACTCAATTGAAACAGCAAATGGATCCGGAGCGCTCTGGAGGCCTCCTTCCAAGAAGGGATTAATTCACGACCAAGGCAATTAAATCATGCCTTGAGCGTAAGAGCTGGAAAGCACTGATTAGTAAACTTATTGAGCTCTCTCTGTTGTTTAATTAATGGATTTTTTAAAGGGTCATTAAAGGAACCCAACTGCTTCTCCCCAAAAGGGTCTTCAAGTGCGAAACAGCCAACTCTTTCAGCCATCTGTGTGATAAGAACTAACAAAGAAGTCTCTTCCCACAATATTTACTATTGTAAGCTATATTCCCCTGCTAGGCAAAACTATTTATCCATCCTGTTGGAGAAAACAGCCCATTGGGATACGAACTTTAGAGACTTTCGTACAGTATTTTCTTCAGAGTGCTGATACGAAAGTTGGCCACAATACAGTATAGCAAAATTCATATCTAAGGCGATGGGCGTACGTAAGATCCTACTACATGGATCAAACGGGGGTTCTCTGCAGGGGTGACTCACTCAACTAAACTATGGACAAGTTGTTTTATATTTTACTACTGAAATGTGTCTTATCTCTTTTTAGTGGTTTACTTTGGATTGGTACGATCTGTATGCTTTTGGATACGGTCGGAATGACTAATCCAGTAAACAAATACTGAAAATATATTGTACAAATTGTGCTATTGTAAACTGTAAAAGCAGAAGGGTAATGATCTTGCGGCGCGCGGCTGGAGGCAAAGCTTTCTGAAGACAATGAAATGTGATCCAAACGAGAAGCAGCACATTTGTCTGATCCATTTTTGCTGTCTGCCACAGGATGGCCGTTCAATCAAGTGGTCTGTACCGTGAGCGGTCTGGTGCAAGGGACGTCTGTTTCTGCCTCTGTCTTCACCCTTGTGGCAATAGCCATGGACAGGTAAGGCCTCTTGTGCAGCAGGTTGGAGAAGGCAGCTTCTGGTTATTTGCTTTTTCTAATCCTTCCTTCTCCTTCCTTCCTTCCCTCCAGGTTCCATTGCATCGTCCTGCCGTTCGGAGAGAGGCTCAGCCTTCTGAAGGCCACAGTTATCATTATCATGGTGTGGCTCCTGGCCGTAGCCATCATGTGCCCTTCGGCCATCATGCTCACAGTGAGCCACATGGAGGACCACTACATGGTGCTCAGTGATGGCAAGAATACCACCTACCCACTCTACGCTTGCTATGAAGCCTGGTCAGATAACAACATGAGGAAGCTCTACACCACCATCCTCTTCGTCCACATTTACCTGGTGCCCTTGACGCTCATCCTATGCATGTACGGAAGAGTCTGTTTGAAACTCTGCAGTTCCACAATGCCTGTGAGCGAGAACCTTCCTTGTGGGGGCAGATGCAAGGCCACCAGCAGGAAGAGGATCAAGGTGGTCAAGATGCTCATCTTGGTCGCCCTCCTCTTCATGATCTCCTGGTTACCTCTGTGGACTCTGATGCTGCTGGTGGACTACACCAATCTGACCGACCATCATTTGGACTTGTTGACCAGCTACTTCTTCCCTTTTGCCCACTGGCTAGCTTTCTCCAACAGCAGCATCAACCCCGTCATTTATGGCTACTACAACGAGAACTTCCGGAGGGGCTTCCAGGCTGCCTTCAAGTTCCAGCTGTGTTCCCAAGAGCTACATCGGCAGGATACTTACTCTGAGCAGTCAAGGGGTCCCATCAGCTTTGGGATGTGCAACAAAGTCTTTGCACAGGCCAGCTCTTCAAATTCCACAGCTTCCCAGCACATACAGAACAGTGCTCCTCTCTTCTCTCGAGGTGGCCAACCCAAGGGCCCTGGCCTTGGCTTGGAAGACATGGATAAGATTATGACCTCTCATGGAGCCAGCCAAGCTTGGGAGCAGACGGATCCATAAAGCTGCATTAAAATGGGGGAGAAGTGGTCTCGGTCTATTTCAGATTCAAAGCCAGCCGGTGGTGTATTATGTAAAATGAGAGAACGGAAGACTACATTATGTCTCGGAAGGGGTGGAGAGGACTCATAACCCCTACACACGAAACTACTGGGGAGGAAAAGACCACTGATCTTTTTTGCTCTCATGCAGGAATGAGAAAATCTCACAGAAGCTGACATGTTTTAAAAGAAAGTTTTTCAGTGTCGAGATCACCTTTTATTTTTGTGTCAAGGATGAGAACATTTGAGGGTTTGTTTTACATCCTTAGAAATCAAAAGCATGCTTTTAGCTCGTGTGGCTCCAAAGATGTCCTCAGATATAAGTGGGGAATAAAATACAGAAATGCTACCCAGGGGAGGAACAAAGTGTGTGTCAAACAGCTTATGCTTGTGCGACTAATTAATAATTCTCCAGATCAAAAGGGTGGAGGATTATGTTTACAACACAGGAGAACTGCGGAGTGTTTATCGGCCCTAAAGATTTCTAGCTTAAAACATAATGTAGTCATGTTTATATGTCTGTATTCTAAGCACTTTGCACATGGCTCTTAAATAGAAAACTCCCGAAAATCATAGGCAAAGATGCTAAAAGTTCAGGTGAGACTTAGGTATCCCTGGCAAAAGGAAAGGAAAGGAGAAAAAGGGAAAAGAAAGGAAAAGGAAAGGCCCCACAAGAAATGTTGCTGGTTACTAAATAAACATATTAAATGCGTAACAAAACATGTCCCGTTCATCACCTGGATTTGCAAAGCTTGTACATAGGCCTTCAGTAAATCAACAACACAGAAGGACCTGCAATACAAAGCAGAGGAATACAGTAGGTTTGTGGGGGGGGGGGCATTGTGCCAACATGGTGACCTGTAAGAAAAAAGTGTACACAGAGAGGTGACGCCTGAATTCGAATCCCACTCCCTCACCTGTGCATCAGGCAAACCTCACTGCCATTTACCCTTCCTGATCAAGCATGACTAAAGTATAACACACTTTTCTCCAGCATGCAAACAAGGGTCCCTGTGACCCAGTCTGCAAATCATAACTTGGTGTGTCATTTTCCACCCCATACAATTGTTGCTTTTTGTTCAGTTTTCATCGGTCCTTCCGAGTTGTTGATTTAACGTAGGACTTTGTACACCTCTTCCTGATCCAGCAACGATGGGGCCTGTTTTCTTAGACGTTTAATTTGCTTACTCAGTGAGCAACAAAAAGGTTATTTTCTTGTGGAGTGTGATTTTTTCCCCTTTCCTTTTTTCTTCCGCAAGTGATAAGATAGAGGGGTGTCAGGCAAGACAAGGTGGCAAGCAACACTGACAATTATCCAAAGTTTTTGCAAGAGTTTTCAAGGCAGAGGTGCTTTGCTTGTGTCTGAGAAGGCTATTGCGATGGAGAAAGCAACCAACCAACGTGGAAGGTTGTGGCTTTACTCCTTGGTACTCCTGGTGTGCTCTTGGCCCATACTCCCCACCTCTTGCCATAGGTAAGATCACGAAAAGTGTGGGAGTCCTCAGGAAACCTTAGCCAACCTTTCTGGTGCAGCCATTTTGTGTCGTCCCTCCAAAGCATAAGGATTGGACTTGCAATTCAGGGAGTGGACACCTGATGACCAGTTTTAAGAGAGGCTTATGATTAACCTTATACCTGGAAGGTTTCAGATGCTTATTTGCAAATAAATAAAGGTGATTCCCCCCCTCCCGCCACTCCTTGTTCCTGCGTTGGCATTGCAAAACATTGTACAGGGCGGCCATTTTGTGCTATCTCCATCTAAGCGTCCATTTTCTCTTACAACAAGCCTCAACAATGTATGGCCACTGTACATCTGAAACTGGAACAACGTGTTTGATGGTCTGGGTTTTGCTGTGCTTGGAAACTTTTTGGAAAACGGGTCCCACCCTCTAAAACATCCCCCTTCCCCCTGCATAATAATGCCTCTTTTGCAGGCTGGGGTGGGATAAATCCAAGAAATTAAGTATAAAAACTATTTTCCCCCCATTGAGACCTATTCAAATCCAGCTGGTCCATTCAGGCAAGTCAAGTGGGATCCCATCTTGTGTCAGACTCGGGGTACCCCTTCCTAGAGGTTGCCCTCCCCATGTTCCCATCCTGCTGGATTCCCATCCTCGTATTGTGTGCTGGTGAGACAGAACAGGAAGGATTTCAAAATAAAATAAAATAAAAATGAGAGAGTGGATGTGAGCGATTGTTCAGCCTCCTGCTTTTTAAACCAGGCCTGGGAAGCAGCAACAGCCACAAGAATATTCCCAATTTGGGGTGAATGTATGGGGCACATAGGAAGGAGATGTTCCTTTTCCTGTGTGTCACATCTGCTTCTGATCCCTGTTATCGAGTGACCCTGGGTTCCAGAGCAGTGTGAGAGAAGGGGTAAAAACTGTACAGATTCTCCTCGCTGTAGACAAAACCCTACAGGGAAAACCTTGCAAGGAAATGCGAGCAGCTACCCATTTTCACATCATTGTCTGTGCCACTGGGTTTGCACCCAGCTTCGCAACCTGCCAGCGATGGGTGTACTGAAAGGCAGCCTGCCGGAGAGGAGAAACCGGCGGTGAGATGGCTCTTGTGCTCTGATTAACTGATTTATCTGGATCCCATGGGGTCCAGCAAGAACTTCCTAGGTCTTATGTGCAAAAAAAGGGTTGCAACTCCATTCCCAAGGATATAATGGGAAGATTGGGGGGGGGGGGCTGGATACCTAATTTTGTCTCTTGCCGGCTATATCGTTCTGTGTGAGTTTTCTATCCTGCACCAACAGGCGCTTTGATTCTGTGTGATACAGTGCAGAAAGCCCAATGCTTCCTCCGAGGCTAATGGCGTGGAAGAGTGATTACTGGGTCCCCACAGCGCCCAGCAGGGTGGATTGTACAGCATCAGTTAATACGGAAAGTGGCTTTTTTTTTTCTTCGTTGCCGTTAGCTGTTTGCATTCCCTGTCTTTGGCAAGCTGATCCTTGCTGACGGGAGAAGGGCCCAGAACAGTTACTTTTAGGACACCAGCTTCCAGAATCCCCCCCAGGGCATGCGGGGGGGGGGTGTTCTGGGAACTGTAGTCTCAGAAAGCAACATTTCCAAGCTCTGTAGAAGATGATGCCTTAGGAAGGTAATGTGACATTTCACATATGAATCCATAAGCAAGTTTAAACATGTGTATGATTACGCTGGTTTTTCTCACCATATTACTCATAAACATGTTCAAATCTGCCCATAATCGTTGCCGTTAGCTGTTTGCATTCCCTGTCTTTGGCAAGCTGATCCTTGCTTTCCAGTTCTTTAAGAAAGACATACAGTATGCACCCCCATGAAAAGGATCAGAGATTGGAAACATTACACTGTTGATGCCATGCTGCCCAGGAAGGGGGGGGGGGCAATTCTGGGAGCTGTAGACTCAGAAAGCAACATTTCCAAGCGGTGTGCAGTAAAAGATAATGTGTTAGGGAGGTAATATGACATTTCACATTTGAATCCATAAGCAAGTTTAAACATATGTATGATTACGCTGGTTTTTCTCACCGTATTACTTGTAAACATGTTCAAATCTGCCCATAATCTTGAACACTAAACATGTTCAAATCTGCCCATAATCTCAAACACAGGTTGCAGAAAAAAACATGACATAACTAAAGATAAATAGATAAATGACGTGTGTGTGTGGGGGGATACTCCAAATGCAGAAAAAACATGACATGTCATAGAAATTCTCCCCCTACAATAACTAAAGATAAATAGATAAATGAAGTGTGTGTGGGTGGGGTCTACTCCAAGTGATCATTGATCTGAATGGGTAACCCACCACAAAAAGCAGAGTGATAGAACTGAAAAATTCACAAGAGCAAAGAGGATGTATGAACAAGACCTGTAAGATTCCTTTGTTCACACTAAGGAATGAGTGTAAAAAAAGTTGGAACATCCTTTTTTGAATACATAGTATAAAAACTGTTTTACAACTGTTTTCAGTTGTTATTATCAGCTGGACTCTTGTTCAAGGTGTAATGTAAGGAGTTATTGTTATGTATTGTCAAGTCAATAAACATGTTAAAATGTATTGTCAATAAACATTGACATCCTGGTTGTCAGTGAACTAAAATGGACGGGAATGGCCGAATTCAGTTCAGATGGTTATCATATCTACTATTGCGAGCAAGAATCCCCTAGAAGAAATGGAGTAGCCCTCATAGTCAACAAAAGAGTGGGAAAAGCTGTACTGGGATACAATCTCTAAAAGAATGATTTCAATATGAATCCAAGGCAGACCTTTCAACATCACAGTAATCCGAGTTTATGCACCAACCACCAATGCTGAAGAGGCTGAAACTGACCAATTCTATGAAGACTTACAACA